GGGCGGAAGATCGAACTCTGGTTTGTCTCCTCGCGAAGCGATAACTAGTCTGGAAAGGTGACATACAATGCAGATTCTGAGAACTTACTCAAAGCAATTGTTCCTTTCTTTTTGAAACAGAAAGGCCATTCCCCTCGAAAAAAGGCAAACCCCGGGATTAGCCCGACTAGTAGGAAGGATACCGCGAGGGAAATTGTAAGGTCCCTACCTACCTAGATCACTCCAGCTTCGCCGCAAAAATTGCGCGGTTAGGGCGCTAATCCTTACGGGCCTGCAACCATCGACCCCGTTGCAACGCTTCCCACCCACCTCGATATCGGCGTGCTCTCTCGAACGGCGTGATCTCTCGCGTGTTTTGTCTTCTTTGACCGCCCTGCCTCGCCATCGTTCCACATCCGACCTTTTTGAAGGTTAAGGCCTTAATTTCAGCGATCCCAAAGATTTCTCTTGCTTTCCTTTCCACTTTCAGGCCGTCCCGCAGCTCAGTCATCACTACGAAGCGCTCTTATCACCAGTTTTATCCGGGGCTTGCCTTTGAGCAATCGTAATCTGAATTTAATCGCAGATTCGCAACTCAGCCCGGTGTCAAATTGCGAATTAAGCAAATCGCCAGAGAATGGCGGATATGTACGAGTTATGCGCCAGCCGTTCTAACAATGTACCAGCGATTCAAGAGTGCGGAAAGTGGGGGAGGAGAGCCTAAAGTGGACAGCGTCAGCGTGCGTACGGGAGAAAGAGCTTCTAACGCTGAGTTACTTCCCAAAAACTCGAACCCTGACGCATCGCTCGTATCCGGCGACTCATTGGACTCACAAAGTCTGGCATCAGCCTCATTATGCCTAATTTCTGTTGTAAAGGCATATCTTAGCCCGGCTTCATTACTAACACATGGTAGAACAGCTGCGCTCTACCAGAAAAAAGTAGAACAATTTCTGGGTGATGTGAGAAACAAGAATCAAAAACCATAAGGAAACATTGTAGAAGAGCATTTGTGACCGCTCCTCCTGAAGGACACAGAGAAATCAGGAATTCCCTCTAGATGCTTTGAAATTAGACAACCTGCTACATAAGGGCATCTCGATAGCTCTCCTTTGCTTTTTCTCCTAACTGGTGGGAATATCTAGCGGCGTGAACCCCACACACCACAATTTTAAGAAATATCTAATGCAATCTATCCAATGGGCGGAAGTGGTGTAGTGGCAAGTGGCACGCTTACCACGCGAGCGGTCCGGGGATCAAATCCTGGGTCGTGAGTCGCCCGGGCCAACCAAGCCTTCCATCCCTCCGGGGTCGGTTAATTGGTACCAGACTTGTCTGGGAGGATAAAAACACTGACTTGTACATCGGCTGGCCCCCGCAAGTCATTGTATAGGCCACATCGCATTCAAACGCCACTACGAATGTACAAATGGAAGTATTAGGTCGCAACGAAAGTCCTGGCGCATTTCTTCAAAGTCCTGACAAACGGCTGCGCATTAACCTGGAGGGGAAATTTTTTAACCATATACAGGAATGGTAACATCCCTTCATATTTCCGAGTCTCACCTCCTGCAGGCCTTTTGGAGCCTGGAAAATGCCATAAGTTTCTACCCATGTACGCCACTGACTTCTTTGCGAATTTTGTATGGGACACACAGCGAGCGAAGCCTGCCGCAAAATATGCTCTGTGGAAGTAGGGGGAGTGGTAAGTGAAAAAACCTGCCAACTTTGGTTCAGAAGGCTCCGCGAAGGAAACTACAACCTCGAAGATGGACGCCCAACGAAAGTTAATTTCGAACGTTTGGAGCTGTTACTTCAAGACTTTCCGCATGCAAGCGCCATGGAGCTGGCAAAGGAGATGCACTGCTTCAACATGGCCACAGGTCGTGTTCATCACATGCTGGAAAAAGTTGAGAAACTTGGTCGATTGATCCCTCATGAGCTGACAGAGCATTGCAAGAAAAGAGGTATCGGGGTGTGCGGAGGTTTTCTTGCAAGGAGTCGCCGTTTCGACTGGTTGGATAATGTAATTACTGGAGATGAAAGGTGGGGGCTCTACCTATGTCATACCAGAAGAAGACAGTGGGTGCGAACCAGAAGCGAGAGCGTGTTCCAAAGCAGGAGGT